AAAGAGTGAAAAAAACAATTTCTTAGGGGATCAATAAAGTATTTCTTCTTCTATATAAACTCTCTGCATCAACACTCACAGCAGACTGTTGCGTGACGTCCTGCTGGGTTAGGTAAAGTCTACTCATGCTTACTGCTTGTATTACATTGGACTCGGTATACAGTATCAGATACTGCATGGACTGCAAATGACTGTGTTGTTGTGTATATAATTCTCATAAATATCTTATATTATGTATGTAGCATGTAATATGTATTATGGACCGTTTATGTGATTTAAATTGGTTAGATTTGTAGATATTGCTGAATTGCTGTTTTGGTCACTCTGGGTACAAATGGAGAGAATGTAATGAAGAGTATTTTCTGTAATATACGGTAACTGGTTCCTCTAAAGTGATTATACTCAATTATTACCTCAGACCAAGCCAACACTGGTCCCAGCTGTACCACCTGCTCTAAAATATCTTATAAAGTTTCAGAAGAGAAGATTATAGTGATTATAGAGTTTTATTTATTATTGTATTGTCTTTGGAGGCCACATTATAATCTAGAAAATTATCAATGTTTATTTCAGACAGGATTTAGCCATTTTGGACATGAATCTTTCTTCTGTAAATGGCACTTCAGCTGTTATTGGGATTCAGCGGGACACCTTCACCACAGCTGTGACCAAGAATGTGATCGTCACCGCCCTCTGCATCTCCATTAACTACATCAATGGTACTCTGGTCCACACATTCAGAAAGCACCAGGTCTGATATTCACCTTTGTTTTTACAAAATATATGTGCAAGTCAGCAGCAGAGGGGAATGAATGTTGAATCTCTCTGCCTTTAACTTCAAATCCAATTATTTCCCTCTCAGCTTTAAACAGGTGTTTTTTTAAAATGTAAAATGTTTTAATAACTTTAACAAATTACTAAAAGAAAATAATAATAAAATAAGATAGACAGTTAATAATGCCCCATTTCAATATTTAGGATTAGGTTATAAAAAAAACAATGATTTTATCAACCTGAAGCAAACAATTAGCATAAGAAATTAAATAATGACAACATGTTAAAAAAAATACATGTATTGGCACCATTAGATAAGCATGGTGGAAGTAATACCACAGTGTATACTTAAAAAAACCTGCATTCAAAATCTTAAGTAAATGTTAAACTTAAGTATTAGCATTACTCATAATTATGTACTAATTATTCAGAATGACCCATTTGAAATAAAATATAACTACAAATACACATCATTTTAGTTTAGAATCAGTGATACATTAATGTGTAAGCATGTTGCAGCTGGTAAATGTGGGCCTGACTTTAACTCGTGGGTTTACAAGACACCAAAAGTACAGTTGCAGTGGTCAAACATTTTATTTCATTACAAAATTACAGATTATATTACAGTTAAGTCCTAAACAAATATTCTGCATTCTCTCCGAAGCTTGGCAAATAAATAAAATGATCCCTTTCTGAAGCACAAATCAAGTTTTTCATAATCATCCAGCCAAAAGAAATCCTCATAAATGGAGAACATTTTTTACTGAAAAGTACATTCCCTACATCCTAAGTACCTCAAACTTGTACACCTGTGTAAATGTACTTTGTACATAATATTAATGTGATTTGGGTCCTTGCTTCTAATGTTTATGTTTTCTATTACTATGGATAATTCAGTCATATTGAGTGGAGAGATTTCTTTAAATCTGTGATTTTCTGACGTATCATAAAGGCTAGACATTACCAGATCCCACATGTGCTTTTATTTACACATCCTCTGAAAGACAAGGTAGCTTTCATTCATTGCTCATTTATTTGGGGGTAAATTTGATACAATATTGTCTGTTTACTTGTTGTGAGTCAACAATAGCCGACTGTGTATTCTGCTTATATTACATTAGATATAACAAAACAGCTGGAAAAGAAAATTGAAGCAGTAAAATATGAGCTGGAAAAAGCAAGTTGTAATGAACTAAAGCACCTACAATACTACTGTCAGCACTAATCCTGTCCTCCTTCAGATCTTCAGTTCAAACCCTCGTTACATTCTCTTCATCCACCTGGTGATGAATGACATGACGCAGCTGCTCCTGTCAACTCTTCTCCACATCATCAGCTACGCCCTTCACACAATCAACGCATCCTTCTGCCTCATCCTGCTCACCATCACCATCCTCACCACCCTCAACACCCCGCTCAATCTGGCTGGCATGGCGGTCGAGTGCTACATCGCCATCTGCATCCCCCTCCGTCACGCACAGATCTGTACCATAAAGAAAACCTACATCCTGATTGGTCTGATCTGGGTTGTGAGTGCGTGCTCTATCCTCCCAGATGTCTTCACCCTCCTGGCCACAGAGCCGCTGCAGTTCTTTCACTCTAATTTGTTTTGTGCCAGAGATTTCGTGTTCAGAAGCTCTTACAGCCTGAAGAAGAGGGATGCTTCACACATCGTTTGTCTTGCTCTGGTCTGGGTCACTCTCTTCTACACTTACTTCAGGATTCTGTTCACTGCCAAGGAAGCAAGTGCAGACCTTAAAAAAGCCAGGAACACTATTCTCCTCCATGGCTTCCAGTTGCTGTTATGTATGCTTACTTACGTGAGACCCATGTTTGAACAGGGCCTGCTCTACTTATTGCCCACAGAGCACCTGGCCGTACACTTTGCCTTATATGTCATTGTCCAGATCCTACCACGGTTTGTTAGTCCGATAGTCTACGGACTGCGGGACCAGACCTTCAGGAGATACATGAAAAGGTACCTGCTTTGTAAAGCGAGCACAAGCATCCACCTGGAAAATGACACCGTGTCACACATAAAGCCCACAATGAAACTGCACTGAGGCTTTATCAGTTTCTAACCACAGTCTGGCAATCACTGCACGCAGATTATGAAACATCTGCAGACCAACACAATCCTTTATCTCAACAGTGTAATGTATGTTTGTGTTTAAAACTATTGTGGTTTTGTTTTTACTCATATTTCAAATATAAGGGTACAATTAGTACTGCAAATACATTTCAATAAATACTATAGCTCAAATTTAAGGTTTTGTTCTCAAAAACAGTCATTTAGATTAGTCAAAATATTCTAAGATATAAGATACATTTTGTATAAAATATTAAATACATATTTTGTTTGTTGTAAAACTCATCATGACAAATGACAGGGTATGCAATTACTTCACATTAATTATTAAAATAAAACATTGTCTGAATAAACAAGACTCAATACTCATACTATAAATAAATATTATATATGATATATATATATATTCAGATCTTCTGTTACTGAGGGGAATTAAAAGCAGAAGAGCAGAAAACATGGTTTTAATGAAGTAAATGTTTGAGCGTAACTTCCCTGCCTCCTCTCATTTTCTAGCATGTATGGCCTGTTTTACATTACTTCCAATGCACATTAGCCTTGTGACATCTTGATCTGCACATTATCTGCAAAGAACAGACAACATATGAACAGATGAATTATTTAAAGAACCAGTGTGCAGGATTTAGTGGCATCTAGTGGTGAAGTTGCAGATTGTAGCCACCTCGCCTCACCATCCCATTATTAGATAGATAGATAGCATAGAAAGATTAGATAGATAGATAGATAGGATAGATAAGATAGATAGATAGATGACTTAGATAGATAGATAGATAGATAGATAGATCAGATAGACATAGATAGAAACAAAATAAAATTTAAAGTTAACTAAAATTAAAATTAAAGTTAACTTACACAAGTACGCCACACGTAAACAGTTGCAAACAGTACAGCATTGCAGATAGGAGCGCAAATGAATTAGAGATTGTCACATATCTATCTATCTATTGTTCTCCCTGCCCTTGACCTAAAGAGCTGTTGTACAGTTCTGAGGTGGTAAGCGTATAGCTAACAACGGTGACCATAAAACTCTATTTAGAGGCGGTGTTTGGTTTGTTCGCTCTGGGCTTCTGTAGAAACAGCATGGCACTTCAGCACAGCGGCCTTCGTAGAAGAGGACCCACTCCCTCTGTAGATAAAAACGACTCATTCTAAGGTAATGAAAACACAACAATTCTTATTTCCAGGAGATTATACACTATGAATACACATGAAATCATACCTATGATTATTATATTCAATTTCTGACAATACATCCTCTAGTAGTACTGCAACCTGAAGGCCTGGAGCTCCAGGACAGTTTTTTCTATCAGGCAACCAGACTTGCGAACAAATGAACGGCCTGTTTGCTGTCTGACTGTGGCACATACAGACACATAGACATGCAAACAACTACATACACATTTGCACACACACAGCCTCTTTAACTCCTCATTTATTAATATCGTATTGAGTTTTCTTTAGTTTTCTTTTTATTGTTGTTGCTGCAACATCAAGGTGACATAACCTCTCTTATGTCTGTATAATAAGATACAACAATAAAGGAATCATGAACCTTTAATCTAAAGTTATTTATTGCAAAAATGCCGAACATTAGTAATTCTAGCTCTGATATTGATTAATCCTGTATGGCTGTAAATTATGAATAAATATTGAAAATAATAGTTGCAGCCTACATTCCTGAAACTGCCCTAATGTGAGGAAACACATTAACAAAGATGTCAGAGGAAGCTTTACCTGCAGTACACTTTCTAAATTCCACACATTCATAGGCGTGTTCTTTGTCAGTGAATCTACTTCAAATGATATGAAAGTGTGAATAAAGGAAAGTCACATCACAGGATGAAGAACTATGCTTTGACCTCGCCGCCATCCACGTGATCTCCATCATCATCGTCATCATCATCATCTTCATCTTTCTCTTCTCTGACAAACACTGAGGAGAATGATGACAGGAACATTTATTAAGTCTGTTTGAAAGTGTTTATAAAGACTCGTCTTTGAAGCTGTCTGCCTTCTGTGCGTCTGACCTGGACTCAGGTAGGTGGATCAGGACTGAGATGGTGCTGAGGAAGACATCTTTCATATTTAACTCTTCGTCAAGCAATATTATAATGTCAGTTTCTTCACCTGTTGGCAGTTAACTATCAAATTATTTACAGTTTAAATCCAGATTCAATTACAATTAAAATCTAAATGTAAATATATTTCTTTGTATAAGTAGCTGCTCTGACATTTGGAGGAATGTAATGTAATATTTTGATAGTGTCTTAAAAAAGTGTACAGCCTGTGTTTAAGATAAACACATTGTGTAACATTGTGATTATTTGTGATTCTATTACATTTGTTTTTTACTGAAGAATACCGTTATGTTTGAGTCGCAGACTGAGCTTTGTTTGTTTGCTGCTCTTTGAAATCTTTTTGGCACCAGCCTTTGTTAATATAAATAAAATAATTAATGTTAATACATGTTTTGATGGTTTGTGTCAGACAGGCATTGAGGGACAAAAAGACTGAGGTAATCTTGGTAATAATTGCAGACTGTTCATGTCTGTATGTCAGGAAATGTAATTTAGTTACAGATTTAGTGTCAGATTCCCAAACTGCCAGTGTTTGCTGCTCTAGGTTTGATTAAGTAAAGAATAAAATACAATTCACAACACTTTAGGGTAATATCTTATTAATTAATTTACTTATTATTAATGTATGTGTCTTTTTTTAAATGAAAACAAGAGAACAAAAAACAGTTTATTTTACATGATTTTTGAGTTCTCAACAATGTAGTCAAACTAATGTGTATGCATCATAAAAGTGCTGTTTTAATACATAGCATTTATTAATATTTTGACTGATTGTAAATAGATTTATTAAACTGATTATATTGCAAAATAGAAACGTAAATGTAAATGTTTTCTCTCTCTCTCTCTCTCAGGTCTTAGTGAAGTATGAGCTCATCAGTGAGCCCCGGAGGAAATGTGACATTTCCTTATCAGGTTCGGTGAAACAGTTTTCTTTTTGCTGCCACATGTTTTGAAGTTAATCTTTACATCAATGAACAAGTAGAACTCTTTTTGATTTGTTTGCACTGTTGTGTTGCTAACTTTAAAAACTGTAAAAATTCTAGGTCACTACTTTGGTGTAAATGTCATCATTGCTGCTCCTGAATGCACCACACACACACATAAGGCCTTTAATTCTTATCAAGACTATCACAAAAAATAAACCTGCAGTCTTTCTATATAGTTAAATGTGGTT